CCCCAAAACCCCAAAACCCCAAAACCCCAAAACCCCGAACGGTGGATAAAGGAGTGAAACAGAGATTAATAAAATAACTTATTTTGATATACGAAATAATGGAAGCTCCAAATTATATGAATTCACAGTATCCTTACTATTCCCAGACAACTATCTCTCCCCAAGTTGGCTACTCAGATTGAAAAACAGGAACAGATACCAGAAACTACTTCAACAAAAGCTCAACTTTGAATCAGATAAGTATGGCTGCTCATAAGGGTAAGCTGAGGGTCTATTCGCACTTCATACATCATGGGGTCAAGATAGACCGTGTAATAAGTCCACCAAAGCAACACATTTTATGGCTGAAAGAGATTTAATTAGTGAGCGAGCTTGAAGTTGAGTATTTGTTCAAGCTTAGTCGAAGCCTTATGAAAGTATCCGTGTTAGAGTAAACCTTGGTGAAACTCGCTCTAAATATAAAGCATTTCAATTTTTCTAACTAAGCAGTAATCTTGCACTTCAATTTTAGATAAATGAGTTAAATTCTCATATTATCACTGAAGACTAACCTTCGTGGAGTTCGAGTTCCAACATCACAGAAATTATAATTTCTTGCAAAAAATGTAGAAATTTTTAATATTTTTATGGGCAAATTTTTAAACAACCTTGAGATTTTACGCTTATAACAAAAATGATCAGGTTGAAGAGGAGTGAATATTGATATAAATATACTTCATTTAATCTTAGGCTCAGCCTTGTACAAAGGCATACTTTTTAATTCCAAGACAGCTGCTTTAGACATCACTGAATAAACCTTATTTCAACGATTATGAAATTGATATTATATTCTGCTAATGCTTTCATTTCTTAAAAAGCATTAGTAAATGAATAAAGTAAATATTTCAGTTCTGAATTTTCATCCAGATATCTCCAACTTGTGTTAGTTCCATTTCAGTTCAAGTTTTAAATAAACTGCCTTAATTAGAATCTGATATAATGCCAACCTCGAGGTGATGTAAAATAGTAGAGCTTCAATGAATTTTTAACTGAGCCCTTAGCCTAACTGTTAGTCCTGACCACAGCTATCTCTTTCCAATGTTTTTAAATGTTATGCTTTGCTAGCTCTTACAGGTTCAAACTTGAAAGGGGCTAACAAACCTTACATAACTGGATAGCTAGCATATGGGCTTTGTAAATATCGAATAAAAAGTTGGAAAATCTTTTAAAGTTTTATTATTGCCTTTTTCCTTTGATAAATTCAATTCAGAATGTCTGACTTTAATATAGACCAATTACAAAAAGAAATTAAGAATTTGATTGGTGCATACTGAGCTTGATCTCCAGAGAGTAAGCAACAATATTTCCAGAATGTTCTAGAGATTTTGTAGTAGAAATGTCGGTTTAAATTTTCCAAATTGGTTGACAATTTTTGGAGAGATTTATTGGCTACTTCGACTCTTTGAATTTGATCATATTTTTGTAAAGCATCTGAGATTTTTATTGGTTTGCTAATCATGAATTTAGTTCAAAAAATGCTCAATATTCCAGATTCTCATTGCCAAGAAGCCTCAGTACAAAAAGTAGTAAGCCATAATTAGGAAATTTTCGTCAAAAATTGCATTCATATTAACTAGACTCTATAGCAAGATAATATTGGAATGAGTATCTCATCCAATTATGAAGAAGAGAAATACTTAACCAGAGATGCTAGTGTGTTAAATGATTCATGGAAAACTAGGTAAGAACTTTATAGTTAAAACAATATTGGTGACTAACTCTTCCTTTGCTTCTCTAATAATAGGTCTGACTTGTTTAGAAACATCATCCAAAATGAAACCTCACAAACCAACGTCGAAAACCTCCAAGCCCTTGAAGGCTACCCCTACTCCTCCGCAGTGCAGACCAACTCCAAGAACGGTAAAATGATCATGGTCTACAAGTGCGAGTTCAACGAGTGCCACAAAACATTCATGAGGACCTGGAACCTGCTTGACCACATCAGGATGCATTACGGAATCAGACCCTATGTGTGCAAGTTCTGTGGCAAAGGCTTTACTCAGAAAGGCAACATGCGCAAGCACCTGATCCAACATGAGAAGCCTCATCTGAGCATCCGCAAGAAGTTTAAGTGCGAGTTCTGCAGCAGCAGCTTCACCGAAAGGTACAACTACAGAGTAAGCTTGGTGAACAATGTTTATAGACTCATGTGGAGAAGAAGCATGGAATCAGTCCATTAATTCCACATTTCAATGGGAGCATTCAGAATAACATGCACTACAGCTCTTAATTCTAATTGCTGATAAAAGTCATTTTCAAATTTGTGTGAACTTCTTTTCATATTCTATCTAAGTTTTTAGAGATCCTAACGAATTATTATAAGCCACAAAAGATCTTGATAATAACTAGCAAGCTCCCTTAATATCTAATATCTTTCAGTTTTTTCTTATTGTTGTTTTAAGTAAAAGACTACTGTTCATAAATTTGGCAAGAGATATTACTATTTTAACCAAAAGCACTTATCTCTTATCTATTCATTTTCTCTCTGCTAGTTGAACTGGATACTATATCCTAATGCTTTTAGGTATCTTAAATTAATAAACCTGCAAATAGATTTGAAGAGAATGTTATCCATATTTCTTCTTTCTGAAATTAAGAAATCGTGCTTTTTCTTTGCCAAGAGGTTATACTAAGCCTTCAAACTTTCCTTTTGAGCTGAGCAAATGATTTGAATTTAATTTAATAGAAAGAATTCATCTTAGTATATTAAGAAATTATCTAATTAAAAATCTAAGAGTTTGAAAAATGTAACAGCCAGATAATAACCTGTAACCAAATTGTTCATATCAACAATAAAAGAGACTCCCAGATGAGTTTGCAAAGTCTCCCTTATTATTCCATAATACTACAACAGCTGGCAAGGTTTATATGAACTCTGGCATAATTATTGAACAGAGATATTTCTTAACTTGAAATTTATATAAAGCTTCAAATAATTTTTTAGACACTCTTAAATGATTCTATGACAAATTTGATGAATTTTGATGGGTGTCTCAATTACCTCCTCCTTCTGGCAAACCTTTGGCAAAATTCTGAATGAGCACTCAAATCTATAATTTGCCTTAATTATCTAGGTGTTTCTCCAAACCACTTGGATTTCTGTTTAATTTTGCTTTTTGTATTTCTACATTATTATTTTTAATCAGCCTGCCATCTCAGATGCATGATAAGGCTCATTCTGTTAGATATTTGATAAAGGAAGTTGTCAGAACTTCATCTGGAAATTCAGCTAGCTTACACATATCATAGCTTCCAAGAGAAGTTCAAACTTACCTATTTGTTCTAGAAAATTGCTCTCATAAGCTTAAAGACTTTGATCAAGCCATGGTTATAGAAGAAGAATGTTTAAGACTTCCTTTTGATAATATTTATTTCTTAAATATGATAGCTCTATCAAATTATTCAAAATTAGGGTTTATTAAAAACAGAGAAATTTTCTCAAAGACTTGCGAGTTCCTCCCTATTTTGCAAAAAATTATGAATATAGAGCTCCGATGATATTAAAATATGCTCAAGAACTTAAGATGGCCAATATTAGTATAATTAAGAAAATTGAATTTAGACCATGAACTCTTGGTTCTTGGAGATTGGATAAAAATTCGATGTCCACTGCTTATCATTCCTCTCTGTTAAAATTTAGGTCTTCTGCCATAATAAAAGAAGTCTCTATTGTTAATGTATCGAGCATCGCTTTCTGTTGTTCCATATCAAAGAGACTGTCAGTTAAAACATTTATTTCCTTTCAGGGGCTGCTCCTAAAAAACATAAAACTGTGATTATTTAAAATAATTCAAAATCCTGCTAACAAGGAGAGGAATGAAATATTATAAACGACATCATATTAGTTAAATCTTGAGATTAGCTATTTATTCTTCAATGAACCCTCACGTTTTGTGAAGAAAGATATTGTAGCATTTTTCTAAAAAAATTCACCAGGATTTGTTGGCAACCTGAACTAATTCTTAAGAATAAGTATGAAGAAATATTGCCACACAGACTTAAGAGGTCCATATAAACAACCCAATACTTGATGTGCTGATGTATACTTTTTATTCAATATGTTGGAGACTTCATTAAACTCTTCACACAGAAATTAACTTTAGGAAAAATCTATATCTCTTCTTCACCATGATTTGTCATAAATTATTTAGAAAAATTAATTGAATTTTCAAATTCTTGGAAGAGTTTTGGAAGCTCTAACTCTTCTATTCCTTTGCTATACAAGTAGTAGACGAATTGGAGGATTCATTTTACTCCTACTTCCAACTCTGTTCAACAATCCCCAGTTTAAAACAAACAGGAGCCCATAAATATCGCTTTTAAAAACTCGCTTAGCTCAAAAAACCATTTGTTAACAATATTCTATCAAAATTGGGAATATCTTCAATCTAGCGTACAAGTTCGGGGTTTTGGGGTTTTGGGGTTTTGGGGTTTTGGGG